TCATTTCCTTTTATGGCTGAGTATTATTCCATTGTATATATGTGCCACATCTTCTTTATCCATTCATGTGTCGATGGACACTTAAGTTGCTTCTATGCCCCAGCTATTGTAAATAGAGCTGCAATGAACATTGTGGTACATGACTCTTTTTGAATTATGGTTTTCTCAGGGTATGTGCCCATTACAATGCTGTTTTGACTACTATAGCTTTGCAGTATAGTTTGAAATCAGGGAATGTGATTCCTTCAGCTTTGTTCTTCTTTCACAAGACTCCTTTTTCTGGGACTTCCCTGGTGGTGTAGTGGTTAACAGTCTTCCTGCCAATGCAGGGGACACGAGTTCGAGCTGTGGTCCGGCAAGCTCCCACATGCCGCGGAGCAACTAAGCCCGTGTGCCACAACTACTGAGCCTGTGCTCTAGAGCCCGTGAACCACAACTACTGAGCCTGCATGCCACAATTACTGAAACCCGTGCACTTAGAGCCTATGCTCCGCAACAGACAGAAGCCACTGCAATAAGAAGCCTATGCACCGCAATGAAGGGTAGTTCCTGCTCGTTGCAACTAGAGAAAGCCCATGTGCAGCAACAAAGACCCTGTGCAGCCAAAAATAAATAAACAAATTTATTTTTTTAAAAAAGATTGCTTTTTGCATTCAGGGTCTTTTGTGATTCCATACAGATTTTAGGATTATTTCTTGTAGTTCTGTGAAAAATGCCATGGATATCTTGATAAGGATTTCATTGAATCTGTAGATTGCTTTGGGTATTATGGACATTTTAACAATATTCTTCCGATTTATGAGCATGGTATATCTTTCCATTTATTTATGTCATCTTCAAGTTCTTTCATCAGTGTCTTTCAATTTTCAGAGTATAGGTTTTTCACTTTTTTGGTTAAATTTATTCATAGTTTATTTTATTCTTTTTGATGTAACTATAAATAGAATTGTTTTCTTAATTTCACTTTCTGATAGTTCATTATTAGTGTATAGAAATGCAACAGATTTCTACATATCAATGTTGTATCCTGCACCTTTGCTAGATTCATTTATTAGTTCTAATAGTTTTTTTGGTGGAGTCTTTAGCATTTTCTGTATATATTGTATCATGTCATCTGCAAATAGTGAGAATTTTACTACTTTTCTTCAAATTTGGATACATTTTACTTCTTTTTCTTGTCTGATTGCTATGGCTAAGACTTCCAATTTTATATTGAATAAAAGTGATGAGGATGGGCATCACTGTTTTGTTCCTGATCTTGGAGGAAAGCTCTGTTTCCTTACCTAGTTTGGGGAAAGTTTTCAGCCATTATTTCTTCAAATAAGTTTTCTGCCCCTCTCTCTTTTCTCCTTCTGGGACCCCTATAATGCGAATGTTATTACTCTTTTTTAAATATAAATTTATTTATTTACTTTTGGCTGCATTGGGTCTTCATTGCTGTGCACAGGCTTTCTCTAGTTGTAGTGAGTGGGGGCTACTCTTCCTTGTGGTGTACGTGCTTCTCATTGCAGTGGCTTCTTTTGTTGTGGAGCACGGGCTCTAGGTGTGTGGGCTTCAGTAGTTGTGGCATGACGGCTCAGTAGTTGTGGCTTGCAGGCTCTAGAGCCCAGGCTCAGTAGTTGTGGCGCATGGGCTTAGTTGCTCCGCGGCATGTGGGATCTTCCCAGACCAGGGATCGAACTCATGTCCCCTACATTGGCAGGTGGATTCTTAACCACTGTGCCACCAGGGAAGTCTGAATGTTAATACTCTTGATGTTGTCCCAGAGGTTTCTTAAACTATCCTAATTTTTTTAAAATTCTTTTTTCTTTTTGCTGTTCTAATTGGGTGATTTCCACTATTTTGTCTTCCAGGCTGTGTGTATGTTCTTCTGTATCATCTAATTTGTGGTTTAATCCTGTCTAGTGTATTATTTCAGTTATTGTATTCTTCAGCTCTGATTGGTTCTTTTCTATATTTCCTAAATCTGTTGAAGTTCTTACTGTGTTCCTGCATTCCCCTCCTGAGGTTTTGTTGGGTTTTTTTTTGCGGTACGCGGGCCTCTCACTGTTGTGGCCTCTCCCGTTGCGGAGCATAGGCTCCGGATGCGCAGGCTCAGCGGCCATGGCTCACGGGCCCAGCCGCTCCACGGCATGTGGGATCTTCCCGGACTGGGGCACAAACCCGTGTCCCCTGCATCGGCAGGCAGACTCCCAACCACTGCACCACCAGGGAAGCCCTCCCCTCCTGAGTTTGATGTGCAACTTTATGACTGTTGCTTTGACTCTTTATCAGGTAAATTACTTATCTCCATTTTATTAGGGCTTTTTTTTCCCTGAGGTTTTATCTTGTTCTTTTGTTTGGAATAAATTCCTCTGTCTCCTCATTTTGTTTGGTTTTCTGTGTTTTTTTCTATGGATTAGACAAAATAGTTACTTCTCCCAGTCTTTAAGGTGTGGTCTTGAGTAGGAGCATCTTCAATGTAGACTGCATGTGCTGGGCAGCGTTGGCAGGCCAGCTGGAGCTGGAGCAGGCATGTGCCAGGGGCATGCTGGGGCAACCTTGGCAGGCTGGCTAGAACACCAGGCACTTTTCAAACTGCTGCCTCTGCACTGGGACTCAGAATGAGTGAGTCTGTGTGCAAGCCCTCTAAGACTCTGTTTCTTACAGCGCTCTAGCTCTGCATAAGCCCTGCTGGTTTTCAAAGCTAGTTAAGGGGCCTTGTCCTCCCAGTGCTGGTACCAAAGCCTGAGGTGCCCAGTGTGGGGCTCGAACCCCTCACTCCTTAGAGAGGACCTTCAAGTTTGTGATACCCCTTCCCACTTGTGGGTCACTGCACCAGGGTGGGTGTGGTGTCCTGACTACATCACATCTCTGCCCCTCCTACCCATCTTGATGTGGTTTTTAAAAATTGTCCTTAATTTTGGAAGAGCTGTTCTTCAGGTCTTTCTCAGAAAGAGTTGTTCTATATCTAGTTGTAGTTTTGGTTTGTCTGTGGGAGGACATGAGCTCAGGATCTTCCTACTCTGCCATCTTGATCCCACCTGTCAGATGTTTTTATATTTCATTTGGCTTTTCAATGAATCAACATTTTAAAAAACTCCTTATATTTTTCTCTAATTTGTTAATTTCTGATTTTGTATTTAATCAATTAATCCCCTTTAATTTTTGTTTTATTTTATGAATCTTTTTCTATAATTTAGACTTGAATGTTTAATTAATATATTTTTTCTTTCTTTATGAACAAAGTTGTCTAATGCTATGAATTTCATCTAAGCATAAAGTCATCTGTATATCTTAGGTTTTAAACATAGTAGCCTCATTGTTCTTTTTTTCTAAATAGTCTGTAATTGTAGTTTTTTTCCTTCATTTGATCTAGGAATTATTCTTTAAGTTGTTTTCTTAAAATTTCTAAGAGATTTGTTTTATCATCTGGCCTTTTGTTGTTTATTTCTACTTTTATTGCATTTTGATCTGACTGGGTATACCTACTTGAAATATTTAAATGTCATAAATGTAAACATCATAAGTACCTTATTTTCCCTACAGATTGTGTAATTTATCAATATAGAGTACCATTTTTTAATCACAGTGATTTTTGTTTTGATTTCTAATTTGTCTGAGATTAACATTGCTAATCCTTCTTTACTTTTTTGTCTTTGCCTGATATATTTCATCCTCTTATTTTCAAATGTTATGACTTTTCAGTTTATTTTCAAATGTTATGTCTTTTCAAATGTTATGTCTTTTCAGTTTATTTCAAATGTTACGTCTCTTCAGTTTAGTTTTATGACTCCAGAAAACATAAATTAGTTGAATTTTTTCCCCTTAATCTGATAATGTTCATCTTTTTTTTTTTTTTTTTTTTTTTTTTTTTTTTTTTTTTT